CCTTATTAGGGATTGTATAGGGATAATATGGAGAAATACCCACATAATCTGTGAGAGGGGAACCCCTGGAATGACTATGTACTCCCCATACATCTCTAGAGTCCTTATTGAGCCCCCTCTGCGTTGAGAGACCCTCCTAAACCAGGAACCCTAAACCCTTATACTTCGGCATCCTTGGGTAGCTCGAAGGCGAAATCCTGGCCGGAGTCCTTGAGCCACTGGTCATTACTGGGATCGTGCAGCACGAACATCAGATACCTGAGACACCGGCAGGTATAAAGTAGCTTTCGACTGTACTGCCCCGGCGCCCCGTGACAAAAAAGGAAAGGGCATGGCACAACGGTTGATATGAACCGTAGTGACTCTCAGTACTTGTCACTCTCACAAGGCCCGATGCCATTATGTGACTAACGGGCCTCTATAGACCCCCCAAACCAGTAGTACCCGTACTAATCTAAGGACCGTCCCCCAACATAAGCATCTTGGCACATGCAGATTTGTTTGGAACCGATATCCATGCCCAGGCACTTGTTGAGGTCCTGAGCCTCCAACGTGATTTGCCCCTGGTAGATGTCTCCTTCATGGAAATCCTACTTTGTGGGACCCCAGGGCTACGAATGGATTAGGGAAGCGACTTATAAAGGATTATATATCACAAGGGTATAATGGGCTTATTCGGGGGGCATCATGCATTACCTAACTCCAGGGTCCCTCACAGGAACCCAAACAATATCCCCGAAAGTACCTTTAGATCACCCTCCCTCATACCCCAGGCCAGAAAGGTAGCAGTACTCCCCCTTCAGCACCATAAGCCTAAACCCTAAACCCTAAACCAGTGCGGGACCCATGTGTCCTGCAGCCTTCTGCAAGCGCAGCCTCGTAGACGATGTCCACCGACGATCGTTGCCAGCGGGTCCATACCTGAGCACTGCAAGTTTGGCATTGGGGTAGGCGAGCTATTGATGTTGGGAGGTTGCAGTACGAGGAACCTAGGATCTCAAACCAGAATAATTAAGGCTCACGGGGCCATTCCCAAATTAGATTGCTCACCTGGATAGAACCAACCGGCACAAGGCATTTCCCAAAAATTAGGATCCCGAGCATATGTCCAAAGATATGGTCATCCTTGTTATAAGTAACCAATCACCTGAGCTCTGGACTAGAGTCATAGTATGTTCCTTAAAAGGTCGCCCCAACATCCCATAGACCCCATGTAGGCATGATGTGCAAATATTTAGGGATCATGAGGGGAGTATGGGAGTCCGGATGCTACAGGGATAGCTCTGCAAGCCTGCATACCCTAAACCCTAAACCCACATGACAGGCCTAGGGGCTGCAGAACCAGGTTGCGCCCGGACCGGACAATGGCCTGTACATCGCAGCAAGCACCATCTGCAGCTGCGAGAATTGCCACCTGAGGGGGCGGTTTCAAAAGTTAAGGGTCCTTGTTTAATGGGTCCCAAAAACAAGGGGCTATTTATGTTAGCGCCTATATAGGGGGTCCCCTTATTTATGGAAACTATTATATAGAGTTTAAGGTTTCAGTTGGGTGGCTCTCCTGCAGAATCAGATGCAAAGGTGCATGGAAAATGACGTGGAAATTGGGCTTTGTACTTTATAGAGGTGTTCTTTAGTCGTTGAACTAAGCACGATTTTTGTCTCGCTATGAAGAAGGACTTTATCTTGCTCTCTGTTAGGGACTCGAGTATGCCCACTTAGAAAAGACTACTCAACCGAAATTGTCTATTACTCATACCTGGCCCCGGGGGCATAAAGGGATTGTAAACGGAATTGATAGGGATCATATAGGGGTTCGGGGGTTTATGTTTTCGGATTTAGCGTTCAGGGGAGGTTTTAAGTCTAGGTTGTTTTGAGAAACTCCCATTGACTTCTTGGATGTCTGTAGGGCATTGAGACATGGATCCAAAAGGCGCTCCCTGTGTTACTCCCTCACATATTCCGCATGACCCACTCCCCTATCCCCTACCAGCCACGTGAACTTTCAGGAGACTGGGAGCATACTACCCGCTGGGAATCCTCTTTTCCGAACTTGAAGTGGTAGTTTCCCAAAATAAGGGGACCCTAATATAGACCCCAAAATACTAGTCCTTATTACAGGGACCCCCAAAAAGGGTACCCCTCATTTTGAGAATCCCCCAAGTCACTGAAACAGGGCCAAAGAACTGCCAATGTCGTTGGGGAAATACATAACGAAAGGCGCAAGGGCGTCCCACTCTCTAGTTGTACAAGGAATCTACCATAACATTTGTAATCATTCAGGCCCCCAGTGCTGCAGTTGCTCACATGAGCTACTGTCAATATTTCCCCAAATGATTAATGGACATGGGTTCCTTACTAGGGAGTATATAGGGATTATACTAGGCTAGAAGAGGAACCCTTGTGTACACCCTTGCTGGGGCCTAGCAAACCTCACAATCCCAAACCCTAAACCCTTTGCCTGCCTCAACCCCACTCGAGCTGTAGCAGGACACTTTGGCAGTAGAGTTTTCATTCGCCAAGTGAGCAACAAGGTCTCGGAAGCCGCGCCCATCAGCTACTTTGGAGAAGTCTAGGGAGAAGTTGTGCGATCCATTTTTGAGCCACTCACCCGGCTTTTTGTGCAACACGAACTGGCAGCCCTTTAGCCCCGCATCAGTATTGATCTCCAACCGCACCTTGCGCTGGTCGTTCCAATCCTGGGTTGCTGTTAAGGAACCTAATTTAAGTTACCCTACTAAGGGCAGATAATACATAAGAGGGTTTCCTGCTTATTGCAACTTCATTTGAATTGGTTGAAGGAACCTAACAGCATCCCAGAATCTGCCCGCGGGAAAGGCGTCTGCAATGCACCGGGGACTCGCTTTGCTGCTGGCACAGTGCGCGCTTGGCTCTCAACAGGCACAACCCACTCCTGAGCCAATGTTGGGACATAATACCAACTTGGTTGGTTTAGGGTTTAGGGTTTAGGGTCTAGGGTTTAGGGTCCTTATGAAACTGACAAGGGAAAATATCTAAATACCCACAAAGGCCAACCCAGCCAAACATCTGACATCTCCTATCGTATCGTACAGTGAAAGCATTGAACATCTCCCATGCCCTTAACCCTAGATCCTGAACCCTAAGCCCTAAATCCTAAACCCTAAACCCTAAATCCTAAACCCTAAACCCTAAGCCCTAAATCCTAAACCCTGAACCCTAAGCCCTAAAACCGCACAGGCTCATCAGGACTTTGCTTCCCCACACCCCAGTGCAGCAGCATCTCTCCAGATCCCAGGCCAACAGCGATGATCTCAAAGGCCATCCAGCCACCATCCGACTCCTGGGTTTAGGGTTTAGGCGGTTTAGGGTTTAGGGGTGTAGGGTTTAGGGTTTAGAGTTTAGGGGTTTAGGGCTTAGGGTCTGAGGTTTAGGGGTTAGGGTTCAGGGTTGAGGGCTTAGGGTCTGAGGTTTAAGGGTTTAGGGCTTAGGGTCTGGGGTTTAGGGGTTTAGGGTCTATAGGGCATAGGCTCTACGGTTTAGGGTTCTTATGAGGGTTACATGAAGGGTAGCGGGTTTATTGTTGGGTTACTGCAATGTTAGGAGCATCCTGGAAAACTATAGTCAGCATTGTAAGCTGGATTCCAGATGGATGTCTCTCCGAACAAAGAGCCTGCCATTTTGAGAAAACTCAGCAACTTGCTGGCAACTTGGGATGCTTGCACCTATGAGCCATAATCTAAACTCCGAGTATCTCCCTTAATAAGCCCTATGATACTCCCCTATACTCCCTAAACCCTAAACCCTAAAGCTCTATGATACTCCCCTATACTCCCTATATAACCCCGTTTAAGGAGTTTAGGCTATACTTTGGCCAACAAAATGGGAAGTGCTTTTTGCACAAGCTCTTTATTTTATATTTATATATGTGTATATGTATACACCCTATATAAACCAGTTTCCATTTCATGAAACAGTTTCTAGTGCATGAGATTTTCCATTATGGGGGTAGGCTCTAGGGGTAGACCTTCAACCATCAATGATCTAACCCTAAACCTTAAACCTTCAACCATCGATGATCTAGGTTCAGAGACTGCGTCGACATATACGCCAGGCTGTCTGCGGCCCGAACCGCGACTCCAAAGACCCCCCATGGCGAGCAAGCACCGGGGACTTAGGTGGACTGGTCTGCTGTTGAGGAACTTAATTTAAGTTACGATATTGGGGAAACTATCGTCATTACTAAGGGGCTAGGCTATATACGGGATTATTTAAGGTTTGGGGTTTAGGGGTCTAAACTCTTATATATGCAGGCCCATCACTCCACAATCTTCACCCCATTTACTTCCTACAGGATTGCTCTGAATGTTGGGGGGGGCCAAGGAGTGAAAGTACAGCCAATAGGCCCTCGGGGGTTCCGCTGGCAATGCAGCGATTCGCTCCGTGACCCCCTGATTTCGCTTTGCCAAGCTTGCTGTCACAATGTGAGGGCAGAACGCACTTTCCATTGAATTTTCCAGTTTCTTGCCGGCTTGTTTTTGCCGTTGGGATAATATCCTCATTACAGCCCCCCTATACTGTTTCACATTGCCGACAATCTGAACTAGAAGTCTGCAGCTACAAGAACGAAGACCTTGAATTGCTGCGACTGACGAGAAGCCAGCAATGAGAGTGATCACCACATCAACAATACAAACAATACTTTGGGCAATAGTTCTGGAGGAGCATGCGTCTTGCATCCGGTGTGAGCGAGGCTTAAGCCTGAACAGCTTCCGGAGTACTCTCCAGGCAGCCAGATAAGCAAGGGACAAACTACTTCGGGTAAGGTAGGACCACAGGTATGTGAGGGTGATAGGGGGGCTGTTTGGGGATGACAGTTGGGTATGGAGCCACTGAATATTTTACCGATGAGTTGCTGCTGGGCATACAGACTTCGCATCACTGAAGCATCCAGCGCTACCTGCATATCGATGCTTGCTGTCCTTACGTAGGAAGGCCCTGGGTTGCAAGCCACTCTTCAGGTCCCAAGCTCTACCAATGCAAAGGACAAGTGTGAGTGGCAGGGTTTAGGGTTTAGGGCGGCAAAACAGAGAATCCAGAGGAAATAAAAAGGAACGAGAAATGAACATGGGGTCATCTACGTAGTTTACCTAGGCTCATCATTCTTCACCTCTCCACGTACAGCAGAATCTCGGTCCAATGGCAAACAAAATCTTGAAAGTGTTCTCTTGGAGATCGCATGCCGCTTGCTTCTGGCGCTCCCGGCAATACAAAAAGAACCTAAACGGACATGAGGGCCCTGTAGACACCTTGAACACTAGGATCCTGCTTGGGGCTATGGCACATATACCTTTCCCAATAATTATAACATCATCATCCTCTTCCTCCTCTATACCTCCCTTTACTCCCTGTACTACCCCAATATATATATATATAGGGTTTAGGGTTTAGGGTATATATATATATTCCCTATAATCCCTATATAAACCTTACAAAGCCCCTGTAAAATCCCTATAATCCCTATATTACCCCAACATATATTCCCTAGACAAACCTAATGGGAACCGGGACCTAGTCCTGAGGCCCAGAACCCAGGATGTATAATGGAAAAGAAATGGAAACTACTATATTACAGGGTTCTATAGGGGGTTCTATAGGGGTTATATTGGGAGACCTAGAGGGTAGAGTCTCAAAACGGTGTGCCTAAACCCTAAACCCCTGAACCTTAAACCCTAAGTATATTAGGGTTATATTGGGATAATGGAAAAGAAGGCGGAAGCTGCTATATTGTAAGGGTAGGCCCTAAGCCCCGAAACCTTAAACCCTGAACCTCTAAACCCTAAACCCTAGCTATGACTGAGACCCAGACCCATTCTGCCAGCCATGCCAGGAACCCGCTCTGGAGAACGTCGCATGAGGCTTGCCAGTAAATTCCAAGGGACGCGCTGACCCAAACGGGTTTGAGCATGAGGCGGCCAAGCAACGCCACTCGTTTCATCCATGCTGCGTAGGCTGCTCTCCGTATGAGGCAAGGTATCTCTCAAGGTCCCTGGCGACTTGTGAAGGCAAAAATTGACAAGCAGGGGCGGCCAAACCACAAGAAGCCATCAATTTGAGACACTGCTCCACAGGATTCCAAAAAACACTAAACCAAAACCCCTAAATAGTAGCTTCCATTTTCCTTTCCGTTATCCCTTTATAGCCCCTGTATAACCTTATATAACCCTACAGAACCCCTATATAACCCTAAAATTGCCCCCATGGCCTAAATAGCAAATTCCATTTTCTTTTCCATTATCCCTATATCAGCCATTGTCTAAACTCCTAGCATCCCCCGGAGTAACCCTTACAGCAGTCCCCTATATAATCTCCTATATGTCCCCCCTTTAAGGAGTTTAGACTATAGTTCATAAACCCATTATAGTAGCTTCCATTTTCTTTTCCATTATCCCAATATTACCCCAATATACTATAGTAGTTTCCATTTTCTTTTCCATTATCCCCATATAACCCCTATATGATCATTGTGTAACCCTATAATATAGTAGTTTCCATTTTCTTTTCCATTATCCCTATAACCCTAAACCCTAAACCCTATATAACCCCTATAGAACCCCTCATGGCCAGCGCCTGCTCGCCACCCGAGCTCTCGGAGGAGTCGGCACGAGCAGCCAAGGCAGCGGCTTCCTGCTCAACATGCAATTCTTAGTTCAAAGGTTTAGGGCTTTGGGGTTTAGGGTTTTAGGATTTTAGGTTCTAGGGTTTAGTGTTTTAAGGTTTTTGGCTTTAGGGTTTAGGGTTTTGTAGTTTAAAGGTTTAGGGTGGAGTTGTAGAATTTTTTGAAACCGCAAAAAGACCTTCTTAGTTCAAAGGTTTAGGGTTGAGTCGTAGAATTCTATGGGTGTCCTTGCTCTAAGCAGGGCTTGGCAACACGCAGGGAACCTAGTGGTGTCAAAGCCTGAGGGTTTGAGGAGTGCCCCTGCACTTAGAAACTCTCATCCACATATGCGGATGGCTAAGTCCACTTGCAAATAAAGCTCCCGCCTCTTGCAAGGCAGCGATGTGTGCCTGGCCAGCCCAGATTTCCCCAAAATGTATGTCCGCATACGGTGTGCATCTGTAGGTACAATCTTGCAAGTCGCACGACCCACATTGTCAACTCGAAAATGCAAAGAGCGCTGCAAGAGACGACGCAGGTAATCCGGTGCTGCAGAATCGTGCCTCAAACTTGCTGAACCTGGCAGGTCGGGAGACCACGGGACGTGACATGCTCTTGCTAAGATGACTCCTGTAAGCTTCCGAGAGAGTTTCGCAGTCTTTTATCAAAGCCTACGCTTGAAGCAAAAGGTCAAGGATCGATATCCCGAGGCCCTAAACCCTAAATCGTAAACACTCCTTTCTAAATCCTCAACCCTAATCTCTTAACCCTAAATCCTAAACCCTACTCCCTAAACCCTAATCCCTAAACCCCAATCCCTAATCCCTAAACCCTAGTCCTTAATCCCTAAACCCTATACTCTAAACCCTATATCCTAACATTGGTTATTGGGCCCCTACGGTAACTGAGTCCAGCACTCCGAGGCCTGCCCTCGCAGCGCTGCGTGCTCCTTGTTGCGCGCCTGCGCCAAAGGAAGGGGAGACAGTTATATAGGGTTTTATAAGGTATTCTAGGGTTTTTGGGATAGTTATATAGGGTTCTATAAGGTATTCTAGGGTTTTA